GTACTTGATATAGGTATGAAATGCAAAAAATACTGATCATTTATATGGTTATTGATCTACATTAATTCCTATTGCGCACATGAATTGATTTTATTCATATTGAGTGTTACATCTTTTTGTTGTTACAAGTTCATACTAATTATGATGAATATTTATATGCATATTATTTCTATTATGGTACATTGACTGCAGTTATAAGTTCATATAACTTATTAGGTTGTTAGCTCATTATATGTGATTCACATGATTTTAGGAAAACGCACGTACCCAGTGGAAAGAGGTTGATCCAAGTTAGTCATTTTATTTTATTATTTATTTTTGTAGTTAGGGATGTTCTGTGTAGACTTGTGTGATATGATTTTTTGGTTGAAATGTATATATTGATGTTTATATAATGAAATAAAATAAAATAATATTTTATACTATTTTATTTATTTATGATGTATGGATTATCTAGTAAACTCATTGATGAAGAGCCTAACATTAAATATCGACAATAGTGCATATCGTTGTTCAATAAGAAGTGTCTGAAAATAAAGTGATTGCTGCTGGATTGACAAGAAGGGCATCGAGCTCTTACTGGTTGGTGGCCTTAACTAGCAAAGTAGACTAGTTGGCAGTCAACCCTTGTTGGTTGATAGTGTGAGTGACAAGGATGGTATATGATGCTAGAGTAGGAGGTGGACATTTAATTTTGGAAAGGTACCCACCGTTGTTTAGCTTAGTTGGTGGGCGAGGACGGTTGGGAACCCCACTATAGTGGAATTTTAGAAAGGTACAATCATGCTCGATTCCCCTCAAGCGACAGTGCCTCTTAAGTGGGGCCCAATCAACTGCATGCCAGGAGGATTCTGAGATGGGTGCCTCTTTTAGGTCAGCCGATGATTAGGCATGCCGCCAAGCACCCTTTCTGGGGTGGCAGCGGGTGGATATCCTGTTCAAAAAAAAAAATGAAAAGGTGGCATCAATTATATATTTATATGTGAGGGCTTGCATTTTAAATAGTGAAGGAAAACAAGGTAACTCATGTTATATCGTTATAGAGAAGTGATAGAAAAGTAGGAAGAGTATGATGTATTATAAATTATTAGATTATATTAAATGTACATCTAATGGTTGATGTTTTTTTTTAGGATTTTTTCTGATTTAGGTTTTGTGACCTAATGCTTGAAAATTAGGAGAGATAAGAGAAAAATAAAGAGATTGAAATATGTAGTTTGACAAAGGAGAAAATATTTATGAAGTAAATATATTATATATTTTATTTTTGGAGTAAAGTATTGTTGCATCCTAGAATATTCGTGGTGGTAGAGAAATATGAAGTTTATCGTCTTAGCATTGTACAAAGATCAAACACACAAGAAGATAAGAGAGTGGGTGTAGTGTTCATAAGAGACACCAGAGTTTTTACGTGGAAACAACTGAAAAGGGGAAAAAATTACGAAGCTTGGCCCAATTTAAATGAATCCATTATTATTTGCAGTCGATTACAAATGAAGCCCTTCATAGGAGGGAAGGCCTTGGGTTGATATAATATATATACATCACATAGAATGCATTACATGGTATAAATTAGAAGAATCAGTATTGATATGTTCGTTTAGTTAGTAGGACTATTGTCGACATACGATGGAGGTTTGAAGGACCATTGTCAAGAGATGGGGGTCAAAAAGATCGTTGTCTAGCCGTGGAGGTCGAAAGGATAATAGTCGGCAGAAGACAGTGGTTAGAAAGATCATTGTTTGGCGGTGGAGGTCGAAAGGACCATAGGAGGAGACGGAGGTCGTAAGGACCATATTCGATATGAGATAGGGATCAAAAAGACCGTTGTCTGGCGGTGGAGGTCGGAAGGATCGTAATAGGCAATGGAGGTTGAAAGGAAGGATCGTTATCGGTAGGAGATAGGGGTCAAAAGATTGTTATTTGTCGATGGAGGTTGGAAGGATCGTAGTAAGCGATGGAGGTCGGAAGGAACATTGTCGTAAAATAATGATGGTCCGGCAAAAGTCAGAGCCTCATGTGGTGGTCTTGCAGAAGTCTGATCCTTAGGTGGTGGTCTGGTAGAAGTTCGAGCTTCATGTGGTGGTGGTCTGACAGAAGTTCGGGCCTCAGGTGGTAGTTCAGTAGAAGTCTGGGCCTCAGGTGATGGTCCGACAAAAGTCTGGGCCTCAGGTGGTGGTCCGATAGAAGTCCGGGTCGTAGGTGGTGGTCCGGTAGAAGTCCAAGTCGTAGGTGGTGGTCCGGCAGAAGGTCAGGCCTCAGGTGGTGGTCCGCCAGAAGTCTGGGCCTCAGGTGATAGTCCGACAGAAGTCTGAGACTTAAGTGGTGGTCCGACAGAAGTACGGGACTCAGATGGTGGTTTGGCAGAATTTCAATCCTTAGGTGGTGGTCTGGCAGAAGTCCGAGCATCAAGTGGTGGTTCGGTAGAAGTCTGGGCCTCAGGTGGTGGTACAACGGAATTTCGGGCGGTGGTCGAGGAGTTAAGGGGCAAGAGCGATCTCCGATCTCTCTCTTGCTCTCTTTCTTGGGCCCCTTTTCAAGAGAAAGGAGGGGGTCTATTTATAGATTTTTTAGAGTGGCATGACCTGTAAATAGGAGGAAGATCAACGGTAAATGGGGAGTGGTTTGGATGGACGGCCGATGTTGAATCTCTTGATTGTGGACCGTTCATTAGACATTTGAAGGTCTTCATGATGTCAGAATTTTGTGATCTTAGGCTCGTTGGATTCGTCTCGTCGAGTTGCTCAATTCGACTATAATCATGTCACGTTTGGAAACCGTTTGGTAAACCAAATTGTGGTTAGAACCTTCCAACAACGCTTCGGGTCCTTGATTTGGACCCATTTGAGCTCAGATTGAGTCAAATTTGGTGTCATTGGGTTTTTAATCTCGAGACGTTCAGTTCAATTATAAGTTTTCTAAAATCGGAGTTTGGATGGTCCCAATTTTAATTTTAGAAGTTTCCAAGTTGATTTTCAGGATTCGTGCCTGATCATGAAATTTTTTTGGTGATGTATCAAGTATCATTACTTTATTCAAGCCATCATTCATGTAATTGATCTTGCGAAACTAAATTTCATTTTATTCCTAATGTTCCCAAATCAAACACATGGTATATAATTAGAAACTTTGTGATATTAATGAATGACCAAATGGTTTCCAAATCTTGCTGGCTATAGTTAAATGGAGTGTTTTAATGAGAGGAATCCAATGAGCCCATGATCACTCAATTATGAGCTCATTGAATTTAAATGCTAAAAGAATGATCTATGCTCATGATAATCAACACTAGTCGTCCGATAGAATGTTTTGAGATTTTGACTAAATTTATTAAAATATCATTCTAGAAAACTATAAATAAATCCCATATTCTTCATATGATCAAATGGGGAGCTTGAGAGCTTGGATCTTAACTTGAAATTAAAGGAAGCTTGGAGATAATAACTCTAAAGCTTTACCAAGATTCAATGTTGATGATTACCACTAGTGAGTGTTGTCACCCGACCATCGTTGCTCAACCATTTTTGCCTATGTTTCATTGCCAACTATCATCATCTGACTTCACCATTATTGTTTGGTTAATATCTTCAGCCAACTTTATAACTAATAGTATTTCTACATGCTATTGCCTATAGCACGCCGCTGATGTTTGGTCCCTTCTCCTCATAGGATAATGACTGAACAAACTATTACAAATAATCTCTTTAAGATAACACCAATGTCTCAACTCCAACTTTTATCATGGTATCCATCCTCTACAATTCAAGCCAGCTATCAATGCCCTCCCAAATTAAGGTGAATGACAACACTTGTAATTTACGATAAATAGTGGAATCATTTCAATTGCATCAGTTCCCATAATTTTTTTCCTATTTAGATTTTTCACATAAAAACTTTTTATTTTTTGCAACCTTCTTTTATCTATATGAGTGGTTCATCTTCGTGCAAAGCTAAAGCATTGACCTCTATCACTCTACCGCAATAAATATTCTAGCACAAAACAATTCTCATGATCATTATTATTCTCAAGCATGCTCTTTTTTGCCGACAAAAAATTCTACCATCTGGAGATCAAAATAAGAATCTCTTTAACGTTTTTCACTTGCAAAATGAAAATAAAATATAAGTAGCTTTCTTTAGTTAGCTCTCAATTCTTAATATAAGAACTGCATATTAGTTCTTAGCCAAGGTCGGTCATGGTTGGCCTCATTGTAGGAGCCAAGCCTCTAATGAACATTATTCCAATCAAACTGCTTTTCCCATCTCAAGACAAATTATCACCATATGTCTACCATAATTATGGAGAAGAAGCTAAGGAACAGGACCCACAAGAACAGCATAATATGTCCAATAATCCACAAAAAAAAAAAAAAAAAACTTTCTGCTTTACAAAGTTTGATGTTTATACATGAACATAAATAGGAGAGAAGACCACTGTATTTTCCATTTAAGCATACAAGTGCAATTTGCAAGGAAAAAAAAAATCCTATTTGTATGTTTTTTTTATTAAGAAAGTGGTTTTAAAATTTTTAAATAAAGCAACTTTCTTGCACAAAAATTTATTGAAAATAGTGAAAAAGCAATGAAGCTTTCTTAATGCTTGGGATAGCTCAAGAAAGTGTAGGGCTTTCATTTGTGATAGCTTTCTTATTATTTTGCTTTTCAGTCATTGTTTTTCACTATTTTCAATAAATTTTGCATAAGGAATTTACTTTCTGTAATAGATTTTAAAAATCTGATTTCTCAACAGTAGGTTTATAACTATGTTTATAAAAAGTTATAGTAGTCCCAAACGGATCCTTAGGCTCTAGCAATTGACCTCAAGCCAAGATTTCTTAAAATGAGTTAGTATGAGATCCTGATATTAGCAAGAGATTTGTGAAACCTTGGCATGATATTTTATAAATTTGACAGATTAATTAATGCTTTCAGAATTTAAAATGAAGGGGGATTTATAAACATGCTTTTAATCTTTACTAAAAGAAATTCTGAAGCTATTATAACTTCTGATAAAAAAGGAGGTATCAGACTTGTATCCAAAGAACATTTAGCGCCGTTAGAAAATTTTCTCACTTGTTTCAGTTCTCTGAACTTTCCATCTCTCTTCTTTTTGTATCCCTTCGTCCATCCATGAAGGAGCTCTGCGATCTAAAAGTTCAAATTAATGGTGAGCACAACTTCTTTCTCAGTCAGGTAATCCTCAAACCTTACACAAATTTGTATTCCAATTGAATTCTTATAATGAAGTCATTATTTTTTTCATGAATTCTCAGACCTTTTCTTCTATTACAGAATGTACTCTGCTCGTTCTCAGGGAAACTAAGAAAGATTCTTAAGGAAGAAAATATAATAATCAATACAGAAGGAACTGTGATCAGGTTCATGGACTTCCCAGGCAGCATTGAAGGATTTGAGCTTATCTCAAGATTCTGCTACAACAATGGCAGAATAGATATAAATCCATCAAACATTTGTTTTCTTCACTGTGGAGCCATCTTTCTAGAAATGGAAGAGGAGATAACCCCTTTTAATCTTTTAAAACAGACGGAAAACTTCTTGGATGGAATTCTTTACTTGACTTGGCATGATCTCCTCATCTCTCTCAAGAGCTCTGAGTCCTTTGCCATGGCTGATTCCTCTGGCCTTCTCCAAAAACTCCTGTCTTCTCTTATCTACAAGATCTCAGTCAACTCGGATTTATCATCTCCATCATCTTCATCCTCGCCAGAAGTTTCTTTGTTCCGGTGCTCCTTCTCCAAGAGGAGCATAGAAGCAATAAAACCATGCTTAAGCACAGAATGGTGGTTCCAAGACCTTTTAGTTTTTGCTCCAAAAACGATTGAGAAGATGGTGAAAGCGCTTGGAGCTTATGGATGTAACAACAAGAGCTTCATACTCACCAAATTTTTACTTAATTATCTCAAGTCAGCTAATCAGAGAGGCCATGGAAGCAAGTGGGACCATGGAGGGCTTGCAGACACAGCAGTTTATGGTGTTTTAATGATTGGGAGAAATGCTTTCAACTATAGGGGTTTGTTTTGGGTTCTGAGATTGGTTTCAAGGTTGGGGCTGAGCAAAGATTGCAGGGAAAAGCTCGAGAGATTGATTGGATCTATGCTTGATAAGGCAGAATTGGATGATCTATTAGTTTCAGGACATGATGAAGGTGTTTATGATGTGAAACTAGTGATGAGATTGGTAAGATTTTTTGTAATTGAGGAGGAGGATGGGGGTTCTTTGATGAGGATGAAGAAGGTCGGGAGATTGATGGATAAGTATTTGAGGGAAATTTCTCCTGATCAGAGATTGAAGGCTTCAAAGTTTCTTGGAGTAGCTGAGAGCTTGCCAGATTCAGCAAGGGACTGTTATGATGGAGTTTATAGGGCTTTGGAAATCTTCATTCAGGTGAAACTATAAACTTTTTGATCGAATGTCTATTGAATATAAAGTTTATTCAGGTTAAAAAAAAAAATATGAAGTTTCTTTTGACTTCCTGCTTTCTTCAACTATTTGCTACTAAGGTTTCGTTTGGGACGACTTTTTTATTGCTTCTTATAGCTACTTTCTAGTTTCAAAATTAAAAGATTTATACTAAAATGATGTTTTAAGAAGCATTAATAAAGCCATCTCAAACGAAGCCTAAATATACACATTCAATGTATGCATCTAGAGGTGTAAAAGAGTCTAGTTGAGTTCAAGCCACCACAATTTAGGTTTGAAATTGATTAATTCGCAGCCTCATTTTCTCACAAAGAACATGATTTTTAAGACGAGTAATCACACGGGGATAAGTCGAGTCACAAATGAATCAAATTTAACCCATTAACTCACTAACGCAAAATTCACAAGCCATTTATTCTGTCGAACTCGAACAAGCTCACATTATGTTTCAACCGTATATGCATAATTTCAGTTAGTATTAGAAATCTTAGCTTTCTGGGTTTAGGAATTTTGAGTCAAAGAAATGGTAAAAGGCTGAAAAATCTCCCATCAACAATACTTACAATCCATAGGTAAGACACACAAAGAGCCAGAATTCCATTTTGATGTCCTTCAATTCAATCCAAAAACAGAATTACAGTTCAGAACAAGATGCTTTGTGTCTTTTGAGTTAGCAATCCTCTCTCCTACTTTTTCTATTTGCTTCACCAAACGATGAAGAGCATACGAAATTGGGAATTTGCTGTGAAGAAATAGTAAAAAATCCAATGATTGGATCATTAGGTGGTGATTATCTGATTATTTTCCTGAGGACATGCCTTCTTTTGTTCTTAGCACATATTATCATGGCTAGCTATTATATAAATAAGCCTATTGTGCATAGAAAAGAAAGCACTATGAATGATTAGGATTATCACAAAGCTTTCTATTTGTGTTCAATCATGTGTGATTTGATAATTAGAGCATATTAAGGCTTCGTTTGGGACGGCTTTCTTACTGCTTCTTAAAGCGGTTTTTTAGCTAAAAAATTTAAATTTTGAGCTAGAAAGCCGCTTTAAGAAGCGGTAAGAAAGCCGTCCCAAACAAAGCCTTAATTTATTTTTATTAAAAGCATTTATTTAACGAGTTAAATATGAAAAAGACCTCATCCAAGCATATTTGGCTCAATAGCAACTTGATGATATACCTGTTTTTTATAAATGTAACATAATGACATATGCATTCTATAACGTGTATGAATTTCAATTGGACGTTATGGTCATGAACAACTCGTTCGGCCTGAGAAAATGTTGACTTGTTTACTTAATGAGCCAAGCTGAACAACACTCAAGCTCATCCAAATTTGACAAGTTTATACGCCTATAATCGATGCACCATTTTACATGTTTCTACTAACACATAGATGCACTTCTATTTTTTTCAGACACACCCCAACTTATCCTTCGAAGATCGCAAGCGGCTTTGTCGCTGCCTAAACTACGAGAAGCTCACTCTTGAAACCTGCAAGGACCTTGCCAAAAATCCGACGATTCCGCCCGACGTGGCAGTTCAAGCACTGGCCTCACAGCAGCCTACGCTTCAAGCTGAAACTAACATGGTGAATGATCTAAACAAAGCCAATTCTAAAGCAGTTTTGTACATCACAGAATCCAAGTGTGAGGAGTTCATCACCAGATTTCTTTGAAGAAAAAGCAAGTGTTTATGGTTCAATCTTCAGCAGAGTCAGCCCAGGATTATAGAGCTTGAAAATGTTTGCAGTGAGATTAGAGGCCACAAGCTAAAGATGTACCAAAGCTTTGCTGGGCTATTTTCAGCTTAAAATTCATGATTATTGATTTATAACCAGCTATCAATTATCTGAATTTCATTTCCCTTTTCTCTTCTTTCCTTCAATCCAAACAAAATCTATTCATCTTTACATCCCATTCTATTATCTCCATTTCACGCAATTCTATCTCTTTCTTTTTTCATTTTTAGTCTAATATCAATTATTTTTCATTGACTGTTATATGAAAATAAGAGCAAATGAAGAGTTTGATTCTGTCCGCAAGTCATTTTATGCTTTGCTTAATTTTACTTTCTTTTGCTTGTATATTGAGGTTTCGTTTGGGGCGGCTTTCTTATTGCTTCTTAAAATAAATTTTTAATACAAAAATTAAAATTTTTGTACTAAAAAATTATTTTAAGAAGCAGTAAGAAAGCCGTCCGAAACGAAACCTGATACTGATGCTTAATGAATTTACATCATTGTAATATGCTTTTGTTTGTTAAGTTTCAGACTTTCTATGCATGAACTATTTTCCTTGGCAAGGCTGAAGCGTTTATTCATAAAAATAGTCAAATATGAACTTTGAGATAGCAGTAATGGTTAAGGGAAAATTAATGGATATTAAGTTTTATTTTTATTTTTTGATTCCTAATGGAGGTAAAAAGTGGTTCAATTAGGACATACTATTGCTACCAAGGAAGATGTTGATGATTAAATTAAGCACAATCAATAACAGACATAAACAAGCAAAGAGCTCAAGTGAATCTGAAATAAATTTCTCAAATAGATAAAATTTTAGTTCAATAGAGATTGACATATGAAAATAAATATGACTTTATGATTAGTATAATATAAATTTTAAATATGCATCACTAATCTCAAAGCAAATCTAAAAATTTTCGAGCCCATCTTCATACAATTTTATATCGGAATATATTAAAGTAAATTTTTTCAAGTACACAAATGTGTACTTGCCTATGCATTCAGATCTTGCCTCTTGATAGCTCAAATTAATTCAAGCATCTTAGGCTTCGTTAGGGATAGCTTTCTTCTTGTTGTTTCTTAAAGTAACTTTTTAGTAAAAAAACTAAGAAGTTGCTTTAAGAAGCAGTAAGAAAGTCATCTCAAATGAAGCCTTACTGCTTCTAAAAGCAGCTTATTAGTTGATGTCGATCCATTGATTTCCATCATAGCCAAAAATTGATCTAACTTTTCTAACAGTTTTCGATCCCAAATTCTCAGCTCTACATCAAACAAGAACAAGGAAAAGGGAAGCCATGAACTGAATGCTAAAATAACACGACAAATTCAAGTTTCTCAATGACCCAAACGAAGCCTTAATCTAACTTTGTTTTGATTTTATACTGTCTATTAGTCGATGTCGATCCATTGATTTCCATCATAGCCAAAAATTGATCTAACTTTTCTAACAGTTTTCGATCCCAAATTCTGAGCTCTACATCAAACAAGAACAAGGGAAAGGGAAGCCATGAACTGAATGCTAAAATAACACGACAAATTCAAGTTTCTCAATGAAATTTGGCGTTTTACAGCAAATACATGCATGAAAACACAGGAATCATTTGCAAGATCGAGCACTATCAGCAAAATCAATGATGTAAGTGACATTAATTTCATCAACTGTAGCCTGACATGCTAATCATTCTCATCAACTACAGTTTACTATGTTACAGGGAAGAAATATCATGCCAATGAAGGGATGGGTAGAATCAGCGACGGAGTCAGAAATTTATTTTAGAGGGGGTTCAATTTTTTTTTTTTTAATATTTTCTTAACTTTTTTCATCCGGGCTTGATATCAGCATTGACAATTTTTAATTTTTAAATGAATAAGAGTAATCAAATTTTAATTTTTAAATGAACAAGAGTAATCATTGGATGCAAAAAAAATTATCTTAAGCTCATTTTCCTTTATAATTTATTTTTCTTTTGGTGACAATAACAAGAGATGAAATAGCTAATTGAGCCTTTTTTTTTTGTTTCATTTTTTTTTATGTTGCAGTTACTTAGCAATAAACTCATTAAGAATTTTTTTTTTTTTTAGTATTATAGCTAGATTACCTTAAGAGTACTTAATATGTGTAATAACTTTAAAAATATCATATGTTTATTACTATTTTTTTTGTGATTTAGCTAACAAACAATCTTCCTTTATATTGATTATTTTTCGCGTAAATTTATATAAATCCTTAATATTATTTCATTATTAAAAATAAATTAATATAATAGAGATCATTTTAATGACATATTATTTCAATTTAATTTGTTTTGAACTAATGAATAATAATTGGAAATGAGATCATTTTAAATAACTAATTTATTAATTAGCTAATAAAAATAATAAGCTGTCTTATTACATCTTTCTCTATTAACTATAACATAGTAAAACCTTAATCAAAAGTTACCCAAAAAAAAATTAAATAAATTATTCTTTAACCATTATGATCAACATAACATAACTCCACCTATCAATCACAAATGATTTTATTAAATGCCAATTCTGAAAAATGTCAAAATCATATAATGAGTTCGTATAAAAACACATCGACAACAACGACATCAAGCCTTTATCTCACTATGTGCAGTTGACTACATAAATCTTTTTTCTCCATTACACTCCATGAAGAGTTAAATTCTCATTTAAATCTAATAAACGAAAGTCATATTTAATACTTTCTAACCAAATCTTTTTAAGTCTACCTTTAACATTCTTAACATAGGCCGAAGCTAATTCTTTATGCTCTATAGCCAAAAAAATTGCAGAAAATTACTTTCAAATGAAGATTTCTCTCCACCAATATTTTCAAATAACTAAAGAAAAAATTAAAGAAAACTATACCTTGTCAATTTAACATAATTTTCAGGCTATGATATCACTTGTTAGTAATAAGTTGAAGATCAAAATTAATTGCACTCTAACCAAATCTAATGTCAAATAATCGAGAAAAATAATCAGAAGCATACCTAAATATATTGAAATACAAAATTGAGATTTTTTATTTTCACATTGGAAAACAATATTTTATAAAGATAACATTCTTTTTTACTTAAGTTGGGAAATGAATTAACTGAAGAGTGTATTTATTTTATTTTAGTCCTTCCTTAAAATAAAATATAATATTTAGGAATTATTTGAGATAGTTTCACCATTTTATAAAGGTTCTAAAATTTATGTGGGAAAAAGTAACTTATGCTTTGTTTGGGACAGCTTTTGTACTGCTTCCTAAAACGAATTTTTAGTATAAATTTTTTTAATTCATGAATTTTTTGTACTAGAAAGCTGTTTCAGAAGTAACAAAAAAGCTGTCCCAAACGAAGCCTTAGTCACACTGATTGCATATGACAGTTTTTTGTTACAATTTTTTTTTTTGAAAAATAGTAAGAAAACAACAAGAACTCAAGAAGGTTATAGCCAAATAAAATCATGATTGTTATCTAAAAAACAAAATAATAAGAAAATATCCCAAATAGACCTTTAGTTTACTTATATACACAACAATAGAATGAGATATCAGATTAATTAAATTATAATTAATTTTAAATAGATTATTAAAGTCGAAAACATGTCATTCTTAGGCTTCATTTGGGACCGCTTTCTTACTGTCTTCTAAAATATTTTTTTATTATAAAGTTTTTTTTTTAATTTAAAAATTTTTGTACTAAAATTTTATTTTTGAAAACATTAAGACATCCATCCCAAAGAAGCCTTATCTCATTATGGTTCCTTTCAAGTTTGTGGTATTTACTGAGCATTTGAGCCTTTTTGATGATGGATGTGGACTTAAGGGTCTTCAAGAACCATTATTTATGAAGGCATTCATTCATAGGTCATGGTCATAAAAAAGGTAATTCATGTTTGTGTAGGATTCAATACTAATTTGATAGATTATTTATTAATATATAAAAATAAATTTCTCTACCTAACTCATATAAGCTTCTTAATTACATAGTGCTTAATCTCTACCTAACATCTAAATATGATAACTATCACTATCCACTTAGGTTTTGTTTGGGATGACTTTTTTATTGCTTCTTAAAGCAATTTCTTAGTAAAAAAATTTTAATTTTTATATTAAAAAGTTGTATTAAGAATCAATATAAAAGCCGTCCCAGGCTTCGTATGTGAAGGCTTTCTTAGAGCTTCATAAAGTAGCTTTCTTTGTACTGGAAAGTTGCTTTAAGAATCAGTAAGAAAGTCGTTTCAAATAAAGTCTTAGGCTTCATTTGGGACAGCTTTTTTTCTGCTTCTTAAAATAGCGTTCTTGTACAAAAAATTTTGTACTAAAAGTTACTTTAAGAAGCAATGAAAAAATTGACCCAAATGAAGCCTTAATAAATTCAAACTTTCTATCTACTATCACTAAGTACTATATAAGAAAATAATTCTAGTGTGTTCAAGCATCCTACAACAACAAAAAGTAAAAAAGAAAAGGGAGGGGGAGAAGGGATTATCCTTTAATAAGTAGTAAGAAGAAACTTTGGCACCAAAGAAGAGAAAAAGCTTTCACAATCGATATGAAAATGGTAATATCAATAACAACATCAGTGTTTTTTTTTTCCCTATTTTTATTTGTATAAAAATGGATATTTTATCTCACCGAATCACATAAATGTATTTATTTTATAGATTTTGCTTAAAATTTTATCTGGATCCTAATATTATGATCTATCGCTTACTACATATAATTAACTACCATAACTTAATTTTTTAGTTATTTGATTAGTTACTACTATTTTTTGGATCTTAGGCTTCATTTGAGACGGCTTTCTTGCTGCTTTTAAAGCAGCTTTTAGTATAAAAAGTTAATTTTATAAAAGAAAGTTGTTTTAAGAAGTAGTAAGAAAGTCATCCCAAAAGAAACCTTAATCTTAATTTTAAATCCAACAGTTTAAGTTTTTTATTTGGGACAAATATTTTATAGCTTCAATTGATTTTTAGTGCTTTTGCCTTTAATATGGGTGGCAAAAATAGGCTAACGGGTTAGGGTTAGCTTGATATCGATCAAATTTGAATCCAATCGAACTAAACCCAACTGGTTTAATAAATAGGTCAAAAAAGGTGGACACTAACCCAGCTTAGTAACCCATTTTGATTAAAAAATCTTGTTAACTAAAGAATTTATATTAATTGATAAAAATATAAGTAGAATAAACGAACAAGCAAAAGAATTTTAAAAAAATAAACGAATCAATTTGCAGGTCAACACAATTCCGACCCACAATTAAGCATGTCGTCGGAACTCTAAACCTAACCGGACCCATTTATAAAATCGGACAACCCAACCTAAAATCTTCGAGCCGGATCCAAATTAGCTTGCTGGGTTAGATCATTTATTGGCACCCATTGAATTGATTTATTTCAAATTAATTTTTATAATTTATCATAGGAAGTGAAAAATCCTAATGTACAAATCACCAAATAAATAACGCAATGTGATTATAACAAAAAAAAAAAAAGAATAAATTAAATATGAACAAAATATTAAAATAAATAAAGGCAACTAATGAAGGCATGAAGCCGAAGGTGGTCCAAGTGGACCAAGCACACATAAAGCTGAGAATGACAGATGAGGTGAACTGCAAATTCATAATACATAACATGTCGTCCCCATTGACCACAACATTTTCATTCATAGACAAATACAATTTAATTTTGAGCATCCAAATTATTGGACAAAAAAAAAATTTAGTGGTATTGTAAAAAAATTAACAAATTTTTTTATTAGGTGAGAAAATAATGGTGTTATGAGGAAAAAAAAAGAAAGATATTTTTTAAAGTTTTTTAAGGTGGATTTGTTCATAGTCTTCAATTGAACATCTTATCTATCGTATTTATGATCATAAATGAATCAAATAAGTGGTAGTTCAAATTTAATCATTTAACAATATTGCTTTATATGGGTGATAGGGGTGTCAATTTCGGGTCACGGGTCGGGTTCGGGTCGAACCCGAAACGGCCCCAAGTTCAATCGGGGTCGACCCTAATCCGACCCGGGTAGGTAAACGGGTTAGAAACTCGGATCCGTACTCGACCCGCTGGGTTGTCGGGTTGACCCCACCCGACACGACACAGAACGCAAAAGGGCGGAACTCGGGCGCGCAGGTGGGCAGGCAGGCGTGCGAGCACGCAGGCGCAGGTGGGCGCTTGGGCGGGCGAGCGAGTGCACAGGCGCGCGGATGCGGGCACACGAGAGCACGTACGCGAGCGAGCAGCGTCTACGCGGGCAGAGTCGGGCAGTACGCGACGTGACTCGCGAGCTCTGCGCGGGCAGACTTGGGCAGCGCGCGGGCAGCTGCGGGCAGGGTTCGGGTAGCCAGGTAGCTCACTCTAAACAGGTTTCTGGGTTGACCTTGCAACCTGTTGGGTCAACCCGAACCGACCCGTTAAACGGGTCGAATATGGAAACCCGAACGGGTCCAACCAAAAATTTCCGGGTCGGGTTCGGGTCGGATTTTCAAATATTGATACCCCTAATGGGCGATAACCATGAAAATTTTCTTATAATGCTTAAAGTAGATTCATCATTATCTTTCCAAAGTAAATCAAGGATTTGATCTCTAATCACTGAATCAATCGCACACTAAGCTTTTGAGGCAATTCTATTATGTTTTTATCAAGCCAAGCATGTTGAATACAAGTGATTACATTAAAATACATTTGAACCACTGATAGCTATATTGTTCCTCTTCAATTGATTCATTTTAGATTTCAACTATTTGATAGTTCACCAATACTATAATACACTGCGTATCCTTAAATATAATTGTCACTTGATATACTCAACATATCTCATATGTAACAGCACAAATTCTCAACTATCAAAATATTGTTCATTTTAGCCTAACAGCTTCACGGTTTTGTCATATTAGTGTAACTTTCCAGTAGGTCACCCATCCCAAAATTGTTATGAGATGATCACGCTTAACTGCATAGTTTCTTACTGAAAATCCATCCATTACACCAAAAGATGAATCGATGTTTAAGAGTTAGTTTTTTTTACTTAATGAGCTTCACAACCTCATCCACTTAAGTAATTGAAGTCCTCCTCAACATCATTATCCCAGAATCATCCACCAGATATATAAGATTCTAGAGATGACCCCTACAAGTTCAAGTGGTGGCTCCCGTCATATAGCACTTTGTCCCATACAGAGTTCAAGATGTGGCTCCCATGGTGTGGTACTTTATCTTGTATGACACTTTGTTCCCATATTTTGACTCGTGTATTGCTCTAATACCATCTGTAAAAGCTCAAACTCTTAAATAGCTTGTCACATAATATAAGCTAATCAATGATTACTAATTAGAATTTGTTGATAATGCGATATTATACGGTATACCACTTCATCATTTATATATTGAGTTTACATAGTTTGCATTATATAATGGAATCGTGAGATCAAAATTGGGCTAAGATGCAAATAATTATATATGGAGGGTTAGCAGCAACGTAAAATCTGAACTCCATAGGTAACATTAATTAAAATGACTTAACTTTAACACATTTTAAGGGGCGGAGCCAAAATTTTTTATTAATAGGGGCACAAATTAATGATTTTCAAATTACTATCGATTATTTTTTGGTATTTTTATTTAATAGGTCATATTAAAGCAATATTTAGATATTTTAAAAATATTAATATGTATTTGTAATAATTTATTAAATTCTACATTTTATTAGTTGTATTTGACACAAATTTATGATTACTTTATTTTATCTTAAATATTTAGGTATTAATTTTATTAAAAAAAAAATATAATGTGTGTGTATATAATATATACAATACACACGTGAGGAAGAGAAAATTCAAATTTTATTATAATTTAGATTATAATCGTTGAAATAAGAACTTGAAATGCTCCATGGCTAAGATGGTAATTGCATCTTGCATAGTCACTGTAGCATAGGTTCGTATCCACCCTATGCCTCAATTCCTGTTAGATAATTTTGCTTACTGTAGGCAAATAGTAATGGGCCAGTGGGGGCCATGCCCCCGAACAATTATTACGTCCTCTGATCGGACGTAGAGCTACGTTCGGCCGTCAATAATATTTTGCCACGTGCTCTTACTCTTTACCGCGCGGCCCGACGACTTGACCCGGAGCGGAACCCGGGAATGCTATGTTCGCGATTTTCTCCTTATTTGCTCGGTATTTGCTAGGTATTGCTTTGGAAAAATGAGAAATACCGCTCTGTGAAGACCAATACGATGCAAATACCGAGTTGTACCGAGTTTTTTTACAACTCGGTACAACTCAGTATTTGCTCGGGATTGCTAGGGATTTGCACGGTATTGCTAGGTATTTGCTCAGTATTGTTAGAAAAAACTCGATACAACTTGGTATTTGCTCGGTATTGGTTATTGGCGAGCAAAATCGACCAATACCTAGCAATACCGAGCAATACCAAGCAATCTTGGATCCATTCCGGGTCAGGTTGTCGGGGCGCGCGGTAAATAATGAAAACGCGTGGCGCGATTGTACTGGGGGCCGAATGTAGAGTTGCGTACGTTCACCGGACCAAATAAAAGTTCCATGCCCCCAGGGCCCCCACTCTAACTCCGCCCTTATATATATATAATGAACTTATAAAAAAAAATTAGCCATAATTGGAATTTAAACTCTGACGTCTATAAATTGAAACCTTGGCTTAAAACCATGACGCATTATCTGAATCCCACCCTCCACCTTTCCTGCCGCTGGGAGCGAATCTCTCTGCGTCGGCGGACAGTCGCCGCCGGTGAAGTTCCGGTTAGATCAACTGAGGTAGGATGCCAAAAACAGAAGTCTGTCATAATTGCCATCAGGATTTTGATTTTGCTATGATTTTCAGCTTCTCTCTAATTTCGATTTGCTTACTGAGATCGCGAGATAGCTTGTGAATATATCTCAGTAATGGATTATGTGCCCGATCTTTGTATGGTTAATCACAACTTTGTCTCTAAGAATTAAGTTATGAGAGCATATGAGTTGGATTACATAGGCTTCTTTTGGGATGACTTTCTTACTGCTTTTTAAAATGTACAAAATAAGCTGCTTTAAGAATAAGAAAATAAGCTGCTTTAAGAATAAGAAAGTCATCACAAACGAAGCCATAATCATAAGACCATCATATCAAAGCAAATAACATCTCGATGATTAAGAATTTGTGCCTATAAATTTAGGCTTTGTTTGGAACAATTTTTTTGTTGCTTCTTAAAGCAGCTTTCTAGTATAAATATTTTAATTTTTTAACTAAAAAACTGCTTTAAGAAACAACAAAAAAATCATCACAAACGAAACTTTATACTCATATTCACGTATTTATACTTACAAGTATATTTATGATGGATTATATATTGACATATATGGACTAGATAGATTTTAAGTTTAGGGTAATATTTGGCACAATAAATTTGCACAACATGTAAATAAAAAATTATGCTCGTTTGTTTATTAAGTGGTGCTATACAATAATTGAAAAGGCTTAAGCTCAGCTTTTGAGATCTGATTTTAGATTTGTTTGGGAGGGCTACAACCTTCTATAGAAGTAATTGTAAAATTATTATGGGAAAAATAGTTTTCTTAAAAAGCTGATGTAAATATTATAAATAGATGTAAAAAAATCAAATAATTGCTTCCATAACTTACATTAGTGAATTTAATTGTAAAACACAACTTTTATCATAGATATTTCTGTAAAATTATGAGAAAATAGCAATAAAATAATAAAAAAATGGAATTATGTAGCGGTGAGAAAATAAAACAGTGGAAAAATTTTACACAACTATCTTTAAAGAGGGTTGTACGTAGTTTATTAGCATAAGTCGCATTCTGGAATATTCACGGTGGCAGAGAAATATAATGTTTAACGTCTTAGCTTTGTACAAAGATCTAACGCTCATATAAATAAAAGAGAGGGTGTAGCATTCATACGAGATGCTAAGTTTTTTACATGAAAGGTGGCCGAGGAGGAGCTTAGTGGCAAGAGAAATCTCTTCCTCTCATCTTTTCTCTCTCCTTGCTTCAGGCCCCTTTCATGAGAATTTTATAGTTTTGTAAGAGTGACATGACCAGTAAATAGGAGGAAGATCAATGATAAATTGGGAGTGATTTGAATGGGCGGTTGATGTGGATTCCCTCAATAAATGAATGTTTATTTGTTATTTGAATGTCTTAATGATATCAGAATTTGACAATCTTAGGCTCGTTGGATTTGTCTCGTCGAACCGCTCGATTTGATTATAAGCATATCATGTTTAAAAACCGTTTGATAATCCAACTTATGGTTTGAACCTTCCAAATGTGCATCGGGTCTTTGATTTGGACTCATTTTGACTCAAATTTAGTCGAATTTGGTGTCGTTGTGTTCGTATTTCCGTGACATTCAGTTTGACTGTAAGTTTGTTGAAATTGGAGTTCAGATAATCTCCGATTTAGTTTTTGAAGTTTCTAACTAATATGGGGAGATCGTCGTTGGATCGTTGGAAGAAGATGATGCTTGAAGAAATTCCTAATCCATGGACAAGCACAAGCTTAAAGCTTTAAAGAGATGTAATATTCTTCATTAATTGACCCAAGACCCTTTCCATCAGCTATATGTAACTTTATCATAGAACAATCTAGAAATAGATAGTTTTGTACTACCTTAACTAAAAAAGTAATTTGGTAGTGGAAAGCAGCAAAAGCAAATAGGAATTATAAGGCAAGAAAGGGTATGCTAATCCCTAAGCATATTATAACTAAGATGTCCACATCACTAACTTGATTTTGCTTCAAGATTTGTGCTGATCAACATAATTTTTTGATGATATATCAACATCTATTCAGCCTTTTTTGCCCTTTTGATTGTGATATTTATGCTAATTATATATATAAATAGAGCTGAAAATTTGCTTTCGAGTTCTCTTTTTTTCTTTCTTTCAGGTTCATTTGCGGCTCAAATAAAATAAAAATTGGCAGCACTACGAAAAAGGAAAAAATACAATAAATATACACTATTAATGCTATTACCATTATTTATAAAGTGACATACGATTCCATTAATTTATAATTTTAATCTTTCAATTCTAAAAAAATTAATGTCAAATTTTCACATCAAGTAGTTTGCGCTGTCACCAATACTACATTCAGACATTTGATTCATTTAATTTAAACATTGAGTTTTGAATTAAAGTAAGTATAAAGTATTTTAAAATGTATGAATTTTTAAGATATTGATATTTGATTTTAAGTAAAATAAATACAATGAAATTTTTAGATTTATGTGAGTTTTAAATACATCATAAATTTATTGTCATTCATGTTGCATGCCGCCTATTGCCAGCCGCTAGCCGTCCACCTTCAACAATTGTGGACTGTAACCAGCGATGCCGACCTCTACCGTAGCCGCTGCCGCTGCCCACCACCACCGACCTTCGTCTATTACAGTCAGCCACATCATTGTCGGTGACTTGCCGCCTATAGCCACCACCATAGCCACTAATAGGGGTGTCAATTTTTGACATGACCAGAAAAAAAATCCGGGTTCGGGTTGACCCGTTTAGCAAACGGGTCGGGTTCGGGTTCAGATTTTTGACCCGTTTCAAAAACGGGTCGGGGTCGGGTTCGGGTTGACTCGACAACCCGAAATAAACCCGATACTGACCTGAAAATCGAGTCCATCCTGGTTTCCGCCCGCACTAGCAACGTCGCCGTTGCCGCACTCGCGTCGTTGCCCACTGCCGCACTCGTGCTGCCGCGCATTCCCGTGGACTCCGTCTGCACACTCGTGTTGCATCGCTCAGTCAGTCGGTCCCTCGGACTCCGTCCCGGACGTGCGGTGCGGTCTCACGGACTGCCGGACCCGGACTCCGTCCGAAGTCCGAAGTCGCGAAGTCGCTTGGTCCAGCGGACTCCTTCCACATGCGGCACGCCACGCGCGGTCTAGCAGACTCCGTCCGCACTCGCTTTGTTGCGAGCTCCGCTCTCTGCCATGCGGTTCAGGTCGGGTCAACCTAGCAACCCGGCCGGGTCGGGTCCGGGTTGAAATGTCCGACCCGTTTGCAAAAAAATGAGTCGGGTTCGGGTTTAGGGTCAACTCCGGTTTGACCCGAACTCGACTAGTCGACCCGAATTGACATCCCTAGCCACCAAGAACACTCTTGACCACCAATCACCACCCTTTTTGAACTTTACATTGTATTCATTTTACTTTAAAAAAAAAAACCCCATACAACATTTTTCAACTCATTCAAACAACTCCAAAATATTTTTTAATATTATTTTTCGTTTGCATTTCATTTCCTTTCCAGCCCACCAAACAGCCCTTTAAATAATTTTAAATAATTACTTAGAATCCTAAGAGTTAGAAAACAAAATAAAAAATCTAAGTCATATGACTGCTGTGAGTAATGTGTAGCCGCTGGTTTTCTGAAAGGTTTGACATGAATGAAACTCATACAATATATGAGCGCACATTATTATAATTCCCAAACAATTCTGTTGCTTTGTTGATTCTTTTGTTTTCTGCTTAATTTCTCCTCTTCTTGTCAGCAACAAAGCATCAGCCATGGCTGATCTGCAGACCCCTCTGCGACCAAAAAGGAAGAAAGACATAGCAGACTATTTAGTTAAATTCCGATGGATACTCGTCATCTTCATCGTCCTTCCAATTTCTGCCGCCATCTCCTTCCTTAATTACCTCGGTGAACTAATCTCTGCAACGAAATCATATAAAAAACGTGAAAAGGAACACGAAGAAAATCTCAGAAAAGTTGTTAATCGTCTGAAGCAAAGAAATCCCAAGAAAGATGGCCTTGTTTGCACAGCCAGAAAGCCATATATAGCCGTTGGCATGCGCAATGTTGATTATAAACGTGCTCGACATTTTGCCGTTGATCTTTCAGCTTTTAAAAATATTCTCTGCATTGACACTGAAAGAATGGTTGCTAAGCTTGAACCTCTTGTCAATATGGGCCAAATTACAAGAGCCACAGTTCCTATGAATCTAGCTCTTTCAGTCGTTGCAGAGTTTGATGATCTGACCGTTGGAGGTCTAATCAATGGGTATGGCATTGAAGGAAGCTCACATATCTATGGTCTTTTCTCTGATACTATCGTTGCTTTAGAAGTAGTGCTTGCTGATGGGAGTGTAGTTAGAGCCACAAAAGATAATGAGTACTCTGACTTATTCTATGCTATTCCATGGTCTCAAGGAACAATTGGACTACTTGTTTCTGCAGAGATTAAGCTTATACCAATCAAAGAGTATATGAAGTTAACTTATAAACCTGCAAGAGGGAACTTGAAGGAACTTGCAAAGGCTTTTGCTGATTCTTTTGCACCAACAAATGGTGACCAATCTAAGGTTCCAGATTTTGTTGAGGGGATGATATACAGTCCTACTGAGGCTGTGTTCATGACTGGAGTTTATGCTTCTAAGGAAGAGGCTAAGAAAAAAGGAAATGTGATAAACAATTATGGATGGTGGTTTAAGCCCTGGTTCTACCAATATGCGCAGAAAGCATTGGAGAAGGGAGAGTTTATTGAATATATTCCGACGAGGGAGTATTATCATAGGCACACCAGATCTATATATTGGGAGGGGAAGCTTATATTGCCATTTGGGGATCAGTGGTGGTTCAGATGGCTTCTGGGTTGGATGATGCCTCCAAAGCTTTCGCTGCTTAAGATCACACAAGTAGAAGCTATTAGAAATTACTATCATGATAGGCATGTGATACAGGATGTTTTGATTCCTCTTTATAAAGTTGGTGATGCTCTTGAATTTCTTCACCAAGAAATGGAGGTAACTCTCTAGGTACAAGATGTTGTTTTGCTTTATATTTTAATATTGTTTTTTGATGACAAGATTTTGCTTTAAGAAAGTAAGGTTTCGTTTGGGACAGTTTTTTTATTGTTTCTTAAAGTAGATTTTTGTACAAAAAAGTTGATTTAAGAAACATTAACAAAACTGTTACAAACGGAGCCTAAGTTTCCTTATTTACATTAAGCTCGTTAGTGGTGGTGATGTTACCGGTGGTGATATATATTTTCATATAGTTTTTTTATGACAAGATTGAGCGGGGAGGTTAGATTCTTTTCATTTATGTATTGCTTTATGGGTTTTAATAGTAATTTTCATTGTTTGTATTTGGTAATGGTAACTTCGGTTCAAGTCAGTAAATCTTCGTTTGAGATAATTTTTTTATTACTTCTTAAATTAGATTTTTGTACAAGAAAACTGTTTTAAGAAGCAGTAAAAAAGTCATCACAAACGAAGCCTAAGTTTCCTTATTTACATTAAGCTCGGTGGTGGTGGTGATGGTGGTGGCGATGTTAATGGTGGTGATAGTGATGGCTAGTAGTCAGAAGTGCTGGTCTTAGTGATGGTGGTGGATCATGGTGAAAGACAAAAGGTCCTAAGATTTTTTCTTCTAAGAAAATGTTAGTGTGTGTTTGCATATAATGGCTTGTTATTCTTCAATCATGCATGATTCCAGCTTGAAATCAAACATTTTATAGGTTTATCCCCTCTGGCTCTGCCCACACCGCCTGTTCAAAAAGCCAGTGAAAACCATGATCTTTCCAGAACCAGGCTTCGAGCTCCACCATAGGCAGGGAGATACGAGCTATGCCCAAATGTTTTCAGACATTGGTGTCTACTACGCTCCAGGACCTGTCATCAGAGGCGAGGAGTTCAATGGAGTTGAGGCTGTTCATCGGCTCGAACAGTGGTTGATTGAAAATCATGGATTCCAACCTCAGTATTCAGTATCTGAACTCAATGAGAAGAACTTTTGGAGGATGTTCGATGGCTGCCTTTATGAGAAATGCCGTTTGAAATATGGGGCTGTGGGAACCTTCATGAGTGTCTACTACAAGTCGAAGAAAGGTAGGAAGACTGAGAAGGAAGTTCAGGAAGCCGAGGCAGCTGTTCTAGAGCCTGCATATGCTGAAGAGACCGCACGAGTTTCTGATGCTCAATGAAGAAGAATCTCAGAATGCTGAACTTGTATTATTGTATCCCGTTATCTTCTTGTTTTTCTGGACTCTCCAGTGAAGTGGCCCAGTAATCCTTTTTATATGTTTTCTGTTTTGAAACATATATAATTGCTAAGTGCATATTTCATAGATGTTGATGACAATCTTTTTGTCTACTCGTTTTATGGAGCTACATTTTGAAGTGTTGATCACTTCATTGTGTTGATAATTTTGGGAGGTAGTATATATGGCATTTCTCTCAAGACAAATTATTACTGTTTATGAAGCCTGATGAATAGTGTTTGATTCATTGAGCAATGCTTTACTAAGAAAAATAAAATAAAATAAAAAAGAAGAAGAAAATTGTAGTTATATAACCCCAAACTAACCTACAATATTATGGGTCTAATTGATCTTTGTACATCAAATTAATTTGGATGGCACTACTAAAAGCTAAAATTTTACGCAGCACTTGTTAGAGACGGTTTGAAAATTGCTTCTTAAAAGTGCTTTAGCAACGGTTAAAACTGCTGCTATTTGCATTGATTTTAACAATTGGTATAGCCCAAAACGAAACCTTAACCTTATATCCGGTTTGACGCTCACTTTGTGATCCTGTAGCCTTTTTTTGTAGTATGGATATATTTCTGATTTTTTATATGGGGTTGATCTCCTCTTCGATCATTCCCAAATATGATATCCTTTTGATGTGAAATGTGAATCATCAATTACTCCTATTTGTGTGAGCTTCACTTATCCAAAATCATTTGGTTACTGCTGATATATTGCTCTCATTTACATCTATGATTTGGTAACATCTTGAGAATTGATGACTTGAGGTAACTTCATCTTGCTCTATTTTTGAATGCTAACAAAAGGTTGGATATGTGGGTTTAGATTGATTATAACCAGAATGGTTATCCGTATGTTGTCTTTGAAGATTTGTCATCATTTTATTTTAATTGTAATTGTTGGAAAATTCTTGAGGAGGAGCTTCTTTCTGTTAGCGAAAGGGGGAGACTAGAGGGCTAACAACCTTTATTGATTCATTCTTTCAGGGATATATAATACATCAATCTATAACATATATTTATAGAGATTGACATTGATGTGGTGTCTTGTGGAGCAACACTAGTTTAAAACTGGACCAAATCCTAACAGTAATGTTTGTGGACATTACGTTTCTTCTTGTTTTGGTCTTCACCCTTGATATATCATCAAAACATTATCTTGATTTGGTATGAATCTTGACGTAAAGTCGAGTAGTAAACTTAAAAAATTAAAGCGGAAATCATATGAACTCTAATTTTAGCAAACTTGCAGTCCAACTGAAGGTCTAAAAAATACGAACCCAACGACTCCAAATTCAACCCGATCTGAGCTCAAATAGGTCCAAATCAAGAACCTGAAGTGTGTTTGGAAGGTTTAATCCTTAATTTGGATTACCAAACAGTTTCTAAACTCAACATGCTTATAGTCGAATCGAGCGGCTCGACGAGGCAAATCCAACGAGCCCAAGATTACCAAATTATGTTATTATTAAGACATTCAAATGCACAATAAACGGTCCACAATCAAGGGATTCAACATCGCCCATCCATTCAAACCACTCCCAATTTACCCTTGATCTTTCTCCTAATTATTGGCCATGCCACTATCAAGAAAATATAAATAGACCACTATTTTCTCATAAGAGGGAACCCAAGCAAGAAGAGAAGAGAAGGAAGCAAGGAAGCAAGAAGAGAAGGAAGAGAAGCAAGGGATCTCTCTTGCCACCAGACTCCTCCTCGACCATCGCCAGACTTCCACCCGGTAGCCGATCGACACCGGTGTTCCACTTGACAACCAACTGATGCTGGAGTTCCGCTCGACAGCCAAATGACACTAGATTTCTGCCCGACACTCAATAGAAGCCGGATTTCCTCCCGACCCCCAAACATCGCCGGATTTCCGATCTTCGTTTGTAATTGAATTTCAACTTGGAAGTTGATTATTGTAATCTGATCATTCTCAATTTCAGGGCCGAGTTAGCTACTTGTAATCTAAGTAAAAACTAGTGAAATCATTTCAATTGAGTGTGACCCCATGGTTTTTCCCTTTTCCAGGGTTTCCACGTAAAAATTTTGGTGTTACATTTTTCTTTTGTTTGTGTGCTGGATATCTGTACAACTCTAAGACGAAAATTTTCTAATTCTATTGCCGCGTATATTCTAGCCCGCAACAACCCTAAACTCAGCATTCGAGTTAAGAGGGATTATACTATGAATTCGTTAAACTCTTCTATTGTTGTCTTGAATAGCCAAGTGCATTGGTTAAGAGGGATGTAATGATGACCCATTGTTCTTGGTTGTTTTTGAGAGCGATGCTCCGAGTTCTTTGGAGGATGGAGTCATCCTAAGAATTTGGAGTATAGTACTAATACTTTGATCATGCATGGTATATTTGATTGAAAATCCAGTTGGTCTCACCAGTGCGTAAGTGAAAGCCATTGACATTTCGTTTGCTAATTCTCAGCATTTACTTGGTGAGGTTGGTGGTATTTGAGTAGACAGACTTTTTGCTTGACCATTAGATGATACAATTCCCACCATAAATAGAGATATTGGTAATATCTTTAAAATGACGAGGATTGGCATTTTCAAGCATGAAGGAACCAACCAATGTCCATCATTAGGGCATCTCCAATCGAAAATCCCATTTTCCACTGCAAAATACAACAAAATTCTAAAATGTGGTAATTCTGCTCCAATCAAACTCTATTTCGCGGGCTTCATCGTCTCATAACCGTCTTTCTCCATTTAGCGGCCAAATCCCATTGACACATAAAAACGTAGCGGATGAACAGTGCGACGCCAAGTTCACCCACGATGAAATAGCCGCAAAATTGCCGCTTGGTTGGAGCGACGGAAGAACAACAAACAACTATTACGTCCGGTCATCGAATGCGTTCATAGGTCAATACCCACGTGCCACCTCACCTGAAACTCGATATTGAGAACTCGTTATTACTCTGTATACATTCAAATGCGTACGATTTTGACCTTGCTCCTAAGGGAGGCACCATCGAAACAGTAATATAATTCTGAGAATTAAATTAAATATATTATCTGGTTTTATGCTTTCGTCGGTGCCGATAACAAGAAAAAATAATAGTAAATTTTAGCTTTTTGAATCCTGCCGTCACAATATGAATGCGAAACAGCTGGAATTAAGGACCGGGAATATTATTTCTAGAAGGTTTTTTCTTCATGATTTGCTTGCTTGTATGAAGAAAAAAAAAACAGCTGTTTGTGAGTGCTTATATGATATGAAATTTCTAAATATGTGAGAATTTTTGGACTTACAGTTGCTACCACAAGTGTATCTTTTGATATTATATTACTCAATGATATAATTATCTTTATCGACTAATGAAATGCTGTTTACGCCCTCAAATTTCTTCATAAAAGAATATTAGTTTTTGGCATATACAAAATTTAAAATAAATGTTTTGTTTTTTTTTCTGAAAGTATGATGTGTAGGAGATAGAAGTAAATCACGTAACGAAACAAATAAAAAAAAAATGAAAAAGCAGCGGAAAGTAAAGGGACATCAGGATTTAACAAGGAAAGATCTGAAATCAGAAAAATATCACAGAGTCACATCACATTAAGAAATTTACTATGAAAATGAAGAAAAATAAGTATAGGTATCTCTTATGTCTCACTCTCTTATTGCTTCTCTTCTCTCTTATACTGTTATCACACACAAAACAAAAAGAAAAAAGATCAGTTAATAACGCCAAGGGGTGCCACCCTTAAGAAAAACAAGAAAGAAAACATCTTGGTGGTGAAGAGATACGGCTTCAGTTTAGAGTGTTGCGGCGCTTTGCTCTCCGTTGTTTCTCCCAGCAAACTTTGTACCACCAGAAAGCTCAGAAACATAGAGGCGGGGAGCTCAGGTATACAACGCCAAGCACTCGGGTACACGGCCTAGGCGTTCAGGTGCACAATGTTGGGGCGTCGTAAATTTTTTTTTTCACCAACCCAAACAGGGGGATGACCCCTGCCTCACCCTAGCTAGTACGAGAAATTGACTTGAGATCCGAAGTAACAGTACAATATTATTTGATCAATACAATCAGATTACACACATAACTAATATGATGAATGGGTTTCTAGCTGAAATCACAATATTAATAGCTCGGATGAAATTATAGTGTGAGAGTGTAGTTTTTTTTACAGAGTTGTTTATCATGGATTTTCAAATTTTGGCCTCCTTTGACATTCTACTGCAACTCTAAGGTTTGTATTTTTTTAGTATTTTAAATTAATTAAATAAAAAAATTATCCTTCCAATTAATAAATTAAGATGGCTGCATATGCACATACAATCAGTAATTTCCAAATAATATAACTTTAAACATAAAACTAATTAACAAAATTTTCTTCTGCTACTCTAAGGTCTGTATTTTAATTTTTTGAATAAAAAACCGCTTTAAAAAGATAGAAGAAAGCCATCCATCTCAAACAAGCCAAAATCTCAAATTGGAAGCTTCATGATTTTCTTATTAAATCTTTTTTCTGATGATTGGGGCACGAAAAGGAGTTGGTAGGTAGCTAAAACATTATCTCTTCACATTAATTAGAATAGTAATATAAAGGGTATGAACAACTGATCATGCATGCATATCTCATGCATCTTTTTCAGTTCCAGAGAATACTCTGCTTTCCAGCTTTCTTCCAGCTGTAGTCCAAATATGATCCCTTCTTCTTCTTCCACTCGTGTGCAGCTTGGAAGATCTAATTTGAATAGTTTCTACTTTAAATCATAATAATCCTTCTTTCCCAAGCTTACACACGAGCCACTTGTTGAATCTATCCACATACTGCTCACTTTACTACATGCTTATAAATAGCCTCTCAGCCCATCACTAAGAACTCATCTAAAACTACTGTCTTCTTAATTTCATGGCTTCCTCAACTGCCCTGTTTCGTCTCTCCATCCTTCTCATCTTCTTCCTTGCCTTCTTCACCATTGCAGAACCTCGCCTCGTTCTTCATTCCCAGATGGTACGTTTTAGACACCTTTTATGCTCCAGATATTCTGCCAATTGTGACTAATCTATTTGCCTTAAAATGTTCTTTTTATAGTCGACAAGTACTCAAGGCGAGGGAAGTTCTCTTCCAAAATCTGGCATAGGTAACATATTCATTAATTCTCCAGTTCTCCTGTTATTTAGGGGGTGTTTGTTATAGGATTGGATTCAATTTTTATAGGATTTACTAAATCCTGTAAATCCGGATTTAGTAAATCCTAGGAGGTAATCCCGGTAGCTTCTTCTTCATTAGAAACTTATTTTGGCTTGAGAAGCCTTGTTACTGTTCCATTGGAAACTTCCCATCCGGGTTTCTTCTTTGTGCGTGTAATCGCTGCGTTAATCCGAGTATGAATGAGATTAGGATTTAAACGGATTTACAGACGTATATTGGGTTTGGTTGGATTTATGCTAAATCCTACTCAAAATGACGAACAAATCTGATACCAGACACTACCTTACTGTTAGAATTTGATCAGTTCTACTTCTACACGCCACAGTGTTATGAATGTAAATTTATACAAGATATTATTATGTGTAAGAAATGAAATCTGTTTTTTTTTTTTTAATTTATTTCGAGCGTCTAATGGTTTTGTTTTGGCGATGTAGACTGCAGTGGAGCTTGCAGTGTTAGGTGCAGTGAATCATCGAGGCCAAATCTGTGTAAGAGGGCGTGTGGGACTTGCTGCTTGCGCTGCAACTGTGTGCCGCCTGGGACTTACGGCAATCTTCAGATGTGCCCTTGCTACGCCGCTCTCACCACCCATAATGGCCAACCCAAATGCCCTTAATTTTATATATATATGGAGCCTGGTATTGCTTCTTGTTAGTTAAATGCAATAAGCTATAACGGCTATTTTAGTTGTATTTAAGTTTGAAATGGTTCAGTATTGCCGATCATATTAAAAAAATATTGATATTATGTTTCTTCCTTAGCATTTGTTGAGAAAGAAAAAAAAAAGTTTTCTGCTGTGATGGGTTCTGTAGTTTGTTCCCACTGATTTAGCTAAGTTAGAACAGGCGAATGGCCACCTTAATTTATAGGTTTGTTGGTTTCAAGGAAAAGCTTTTAGGTTTTTTCCGTTGATACAGGACAGCTTAGGCTCCGGTTATTCCTTTGATTTACTATAATGCAGATCTCTACACATAAGGAAGATTTTTCATTGAATACAGGACAGCGAGGTCTCTGGTAACTATCTATTACGTATTGATTATTTTTATTTTTTAGCCTCAGAGCTCAGGACAGAATGACTTGAGGCTGCTCTTTTCATAGATCCACTGTCTTTCTGTTTCACCTCTATTCTAGTCACCAGACCTAGAAAATAGGTCCGGACATTCACTAAAAGTTGCCACGTGGATAGCGCTTTGACTGCGCTTTAGGTGAGCTTTGACTACGCTTTGTGTGCGCTTTGACTGTGCTTTTGACTGTGCTTTTGACTGCACTTTAACTACACTTTTGGCGCGCTTGACTTAAAATTCCGCTGAGACGTGTACATTCCACGCGTCAAATTTTTAGAGGATATCCGGACCTATTTCTAGGTCCGGTGACCGGACGTAATAATTTGACCTATTCTAAACGGTGATAGTTTGTCATGTGTGAAGAAGGAGAAATTATTACGTGCGGAGTCCGGATGTAAAATACATGATATATGTTCTTGTACACACTGTGTATAAGTTTATACACATTGTGTGCAAATTGTGTATATTATGTATATAAGTTTGTACATACCATGTATATAATTTTGTAATTTGTATATAATATGTATAGTTGTGCACACTGGGTAAAAGGATACTTGTCATATTTTTATTGGAGTTCAGACATAATTGGACTTCACAGGTAATAATTTCTCGTGTAGAAGAGGGACTGGGATTCGAGTGTTCAATTACTGCTGTTTGGTCACTTGCTGACATAGCCTATGTGTTGCATACTATGAAAAAGCTTCGAACTGCCTGTATAGCTCCAAATTCATGGTTTTTTTGGAAGAGGATGACTTGTTAATGACCAAGAACAGATTGCAAAATTACCATAAGATTCCTTTATTTTATTGGCAGCTGCTCTACCTTTGCTTCCCTCCTAAGTTGAACCCGTATTCAATCATTCGAATTTTCAGCATATAAACAACACAACTGATCTGATTATTGTGTTTCAGTACACTCCAAGGTTCTACGTCAGATTTCCTCTGAGCTATCACATTTAATATATCCTCAAATTTTAATTATGATCGAGCGTGAATCTCAGGCAAAATGAAGTTAGAAATTTCCAAAATTAAATTTGGAATAATTTGAACTCCGATCTTAATAAACTTACAGTCAAATTGAATGTCTCGAAGAGACGAACCCAACGACACATAATTAGACTCAATTTGAGCCCAAATGGGTCCAATTCAAAGAGTACTTGAAGCACATTTGGACGGTTTTTACTATAAACTAGGTGACCAAACGGTTTCCAAACGTAACATGTTTATGGCCGAATCGAGCGGCCGGTTTCCAAACGTAACATGTTTATGGTCGAATCGAGCGGCTCGACGACAAAAATCCAACGAGCCTAAGATCGTCAAATTTTGATATCAAAAAGATGTTCAAATGCCTAGTACATGGTCCACAATCAAGATGATCAATATCGGCCATTCATTTGAACAAATACCAATGTACCCTTGATCTCCCTCCTATTTACTGGCCATGTAGCTCTCAGAAAATTATAAACTGACCCCCCATTCATCATGGAGAGGAGGAAGTAGGAAAAGCACGGAAGAGAAGGAAAAGAGAAACTAAATTTCTTTTGCCACTAAACTCCTCAACCATCGAACGTCGTCAGACTTCCGCCCGGCTATCGATTGACATCAAACTTCAGCCCGACTACCCACTGATGCCGGACTTCTACCAGCTACAGACTGACGTTGGACTTCCGTCCGGCCACCCACTGACACCGAACTAACTAATTGTCGCCAAACTGTCACCGGACTTACTCCTGACAAACGATTATCGTCAGACTTCCCCTCAATAACTGTCACTAGACAATGATCTTTCTAACAACCGTCATCCACTGAATACGATCTTTCTGGCCTCGATCACCAGACAATGGTCTTTCTAACCACTATCACCCACTGACCATGATCCTTCAGATATCCATCGCCAGACAACAATCTTTCTGACAATTGTCGCCCGCTGATTACGATCCTTCCGACATCCGTTGTCAAAAAACGATCTTTTTGACCAATGTCACACACCGACTACAGTCCTTTCGACCTCTATCACCAGACTACAATCTTTCTGACCACCGTCGCCTGCCGACTATGGTACTTCTGACCTCCTTCGCCAAACTACGGTCTTTCCGACTTTTGTCACATGCTGACTATGATCATTCTGACTGTTGTTGCTAAACTACAGTCTTTGCAACCTCCACCCCCCGCCGACTATGGTCCTTCCAACCCCCGTCGTCAGCTTACGATCTTTCCGACCTTTGTCACCTGCTGAATACGATACTTCCTACCTTCGTTGCCATACTGCGGTCCTTCTGACCTCCTTTGGTAGACTACGGTCTTTCCGACATCCATCAACCGCCGACTACGATCCTTTCGACCTCCATTGCCATATTACGATCTTTTCAACCTCTGTCACCCGTAGACTATAGTCCTTATGACCTATGTTGTCAGACTACGATCTTTTCGACCTTTGTCGTCCGCCAACTATGGTCCCTTCTGACCTCTATTATCAGACTACGGTCTTTTCGACCTCCATTGCCAGACTACGGTCTTTTCGACCTCTGTCGCTCGCAAACTATGGTCTCAACTATGATCCTGCCGACAAAATGAATATGTCAATAATGATTCTTCCAATGTCCACAATGTAATGCATTCTATATGTTATATATTTGCTAAATTTAGTCAATGCCTTCCCCCTAAGGAAGGGCCTCATTTGTAATCAACTGCAAACTCTAGTGGATTCATTCAAATTGGACCAGACCCTGTGGGGTATTCCCCCTTTTTTGTTTGCATAAATATTTTTTAATATTTTTTTTGAAAAGTAGCGGAAAAATGATGGTTAAAAGCTATTCCAAACGGAACTGAAGCATGCAAGTGTTGGTCCTTAATGTCTTAGTGGTGGAATGAATGGCAAGGGAATTTTCAAATAAGATAGGCATGAAATGATGCATCAACGATGGCATGACTTGATAACGATGAGCATAACACCAATGAAACTTACAAGCCATGACATTTTCAAGGTATGCTGAAGTATTGAGTAGTCTTGATATATTCTTTGATCGGGCACGAATCTCGAGGCAAAATCAAGCTGGAAACTTCAAAAATTAAATTCGGGAGCATCTGAACTCCGATTTCAGCAAGCTTATAGTCAAAATGAGCGTCTCGGAAATACGAACCCAACGACACCAAATTAAACTCAATCCGAGCCCAAATGAGTCCAAATCAAGCACCCGAAGTGCTGTTGGAAAGTTCGTACCACAATTTGAGTAACCAAACGGTCTCCGAACTTAACACGCTTATAGTTGAATCGAGTGGCTCGACGAGAAAAATCCAACGAGCCCAAGATCACCGAATTCCAACATCATTAATACCTTCAAATGTCTGACTAACGGTGCATGATCTAGGGATTCAATATCAGCCGTCCATTCGAACACTCCCTATTTACCCCTGATCTCACACCTATTTACAAGCTATGCCACTCCAGAAAATCTATAAATAGAAATAGACCCCTCATTTCTCATGATGGGGGACCCAAGCAAGAAGAAGAGAAGAAGAAAAGAAAAAGAGAAGGATAAGAGGGAAGAACTCCTCCTCGACCACCGCCGGAGTTCTCGCCAGAAGTTCTGCCCGACGCCGAATTTTGCCGGACTTCGGAACGACAGCCGAATTTCTGCTAGACGTCGGAAATTTTCCAGAATTTCAACGACGCCAGAGTTCTGTGCATTGAATTAATTTATCAATTTTTTTTATAATTTGTCATAGGAAGTGAAATAACCTAAAGTACAAATCACCAAATAAATAATGCAATGTGATTATATATAAAAAAAAGAATAAATTGAATATTGAACAAAATACCAATGCTTTTAAATCGAATTGAATCGGCTGGTTCAACCGGTTCAACTATAATCGTTTCGCACTCAAAACCGCCCTTGACCAGCTTGAACCGTCGGTTCGACCGCCGAACTGCTTCGGATTATTGTAAATCGCCCGATTCAATTTTTGTGAGATTCGACGACTACAATTCAACAATGTGAAGCTTATACAAGAGAGGAAAAACAAAAACCCTGATTCGGATTATCTTCTTCCCGACTTCTCTGCTCCTTCGCACTTCGCTCTCCCCATTCTGGCGTCTTGCTCATTCATGAACCTAGAAGCCAACAAGGCAACAACGTCTCCTGCAATCTACTCGTTCGTGGAAGCCATAAGCCAACGGCCGGACACCATTTTGACGTCTCCTGTTTCCTAGTGTAATGTTCCTTGTGAGACAACACTGTCATACGAGATAGTTGTGTTATTATTATAATATTTAAAAAATAACAAGTATTTATTACTCATCCGATTCGACCCCAGTTCAACCCCCGTCGAACCATCAAACCTCTAATCTTCATTTTTCCGACTCATTGATCGGTCCGATTTTAAAAATCTTTACAAAATACTAAAATACATAAAGGCAATAATGAAGCCCAAGGTGGTCCAAGTGGGCCAAGCACGCATATAAGCTGAGAATGACACACGAGGGCCTGAGTCATATATATAATATATATATATATAGAAGCAGTTTCTAATAAAAAATTTTAATTTTTATGCTAAGAAGTTGCTTCATGAAGCAGTAAAAAACCGTCCAAACGAAGCCTTAGTCATAACTGGAACTGAAACTCCACCGTCTAATAAATTGAAACCTTGGCTTAAAACCCATGGCGCATTATCTGAATCCAACCTTCCGCTTTTCCTGC